GATAGATATATCTTTATATATATAGCTATGATTATTAATGTGAGTTGCTCATATATCATATATTTGAGCTCTGCTTTATTTATGCAATGGCCGATTGCCTCGGCTGGCCAGTAAAAGTCACTAGCTAATAAGTAACTAACGAAAAATGTGGCTTTTTCTTAAATGGCAGCAGTTTGATCTGGTTCCATATGTGACTTAAGTGCCCATGCACGCGACAGATAAACAGAAACAGATACAACTACAGATATTCTCTGTAGCGGGTGACCTTTGCTGAGGTCTGTCCACATCTTGCACCCTCCTACTCTCTTTCTCTACTCTCCCGCTCTCTCCCTCTTTATCTCGCTCATTTTGAGAAAGCTTGTGACTTGAGCTTGACATTTCCAACAACTTAGTATTTTTTTTTATAATTTGCGTGTGCGACGCTCATTTAGCTTAGCTTTAACTGTCCATATGTCTGTCTATTCATAGTCATATCTTGAACAAAATATGACCATACGGCAATTAGCTGTCAGCAAACCTAACTAACACCCCCTAATAGCCCCCGAATAGAGCGCAGTTACCTAATCAATTCAAGTCACTCTCGATACCGTTAAACGTAGATTTTATAAGACGCAAATGTCTTGAACTTACATCAAATGCAAAATATATATTTATTGCCTGATCTATTGCCACATCGGACGATCAGACAACGCGTCTGCCAGCTACACAGTTTCTCAGATTATATACTAACGTCTATTGAATCATACTTGTGCCACATTACAAGTTTGTTGACACGCTGACGTATACGTAATCTCGCTCGCTCTATCTCTCTCTTTGTCACTCTGTCTCTCTTTATCACTGCCTGCATATATAGTATTTACATATATTACTATATTACTAGATGTACATATATTACTAGATGTACGTAAATATGTATGTAAATGTGTGCATGAAGCACAGTTCAAAGCGCAATCGTAAATCTAATTGTAAGTAGGCGTATAATTTATATATATATACGTATATGTATTTATATATAGCTAGGCTTTGGCTTTGGTTACGTTTATATTTAAGTCGGGGCTGTCACCGTTGCCGCCCCTCAAAATAAAAACGGAAATGGGCAATAATATGCGACGCAGCTCATACTTTTATTTTTATTTTTTTCCCTACAACATTTAAACATTTTACACGCTTTTACATGATAAGTTGACGTTGAGTCGAAAGGTGGAGGCGCTGCTTGCAAGAACTGACTAAAAAGACACTTCGCACCAGCACATACTCACACACATATGCATATATGCTCAAAAGTGTTTAATTTTTTAATACCCTATATAACCAGCGGGGGGCATAGGTTAATGATAGGCACACATATACCTTTTAAAATTAAGAAACAGAAATGTGTTCAAAAAGCAAACACAAATTATCGATAGATTTGATGGATTTGAAGAGATATTGAAAAGGCCTACATCTAGGCAATTAACACAAAAATGTCTAAATTTAGCTACAAATAATCAAAGCAAAATACATACTGTGCAGTATACTTATGGGGAACTCCGATTAATCGATAATTATGAAACTTTGCAAGACTACTCAGCTTGTCATAAATTTGAAAAATAATTCGTATTTAATGAATTTAGAGAGTATTAATATTTGCAACCTAATGCAATTTTTAAATTTTAATTTTAAGGCGCATGCTATAGTCGTGCATTATCGCAAACATTTCCTTGCTCATTTATGCTCATGACGCGCTTTATTTTGGTGAGTGCGAGCGAATTACAGTTACATGCTTCAATTTCAATTTCAATTGCTGAGTTTGTGTGCGTGTGCTCTGCCAGTGGCGTTGCTGCGAGAGGGGTTCGCCCCGGTAGATTATTGCATTGATTTGTAGCCTTTTTCTGGCCAGGGCTGCCATGCCACTGTGTCAATGCAGTGGTCCCATACACACACATGCAGACCTACACGCACACAGTTATCAGAGAGCTTGGAAAGGGGGTGACGGCGACTGCATTGGGGCCGCAGACAGACACTAAACTCGAGCAACATATATGTATGTATGTACGTCTGTGTTTGCGTGTGTGTATGAGTGTATCCGCATGATCGTCCGTGTTCCAGTGCTCAGTGTTGTTCAGCGCTCGCTTTGCTCAGTCCCCCAACAGCCAGTCCAACATTTTGTCAATTCATTTTTTGCATTTAGTCTGCGTTCGTTCCTCATGCGGCTTGACAATTCTGCTTTCGACATAAAAGAAATGACAAAATATAAAAAAAGAGAATATTTTAGTGAATTTTTTGACAAGTCGTGTCGCCTTGGCATATAGATAGATATAAGCAGATATATGTGCCAACATTTGTTTTTGTGAGCATTTCAGATATATATTGGCTACTTTTTAATATACATATACATATTCAACATATATGTATATACATATATGTATATAAGTGTGTGCGTTTATATATTTGTATGTTTGTATGACACACAGTCAATTGTGAATTATCAGTGACAACGTGAGAATAGCTCGGCCCTTGGCCAGGGGCGACAGCTTCGATATACGCCGCGTATCAATTATGTGGAAATATATTTACAAAGATACATATGCATATATATATCAGTCAGTGTCTGTGTGTATGTACGTGCATATGTAAAGCAATTTTGATGCCCTGGCACTGAATGTCACTAAACGCGCCAGCCACTCGCATTGCGTGCGAATGTTACACACACTCTCAAACAGCCAGTCTCTGTGTGGGGATGTGTTTTTGTGAGACCGAGAGCGAGTGAGAGAGTGATCAGTGTCTCTTCTTTGCGTGCGTGCGTCCCTGTGTGAGCTTGTGTGCAGATCAGCAGCAGTAGCAGAAGCAACAGCAGCAAACACAAACAAACAAACAACAATTCACATTCATTCATTGCGCGTCGGCTTCATTGTGAATGATAACGATTGTGATTGCCGCATCTAGCTATTATCGTCAGTTTTGCCACGCACCAGGAGAGAGCAGCAGTGCAATGGTAGCCAGTGAGAGTAAACGCGTGTGAACTAAAAAATAAATATATAAAATACCAAACACAAAGAGGAACAAATTCAATTTAAATACCATAGAAAGCGTGCAGAATTGTTGTTATTTGATTCCTTCTTGTGCTGTGTCACGCCCATCTATGCCGCCGAGGCCGCGTCAACGCAACGCACATAAAGATCTAACGAAAATCCATACAAAATGGCGATAAATTCAAGCGCCAGAGAAACGCCCCAGCGTCAAGTTTAAAAAGAAAGTAATCGCTAGATCAAAGATAAACCACAAAACAACAACAAAAAATACCAAAATTGTATGCAACAAAAGTTTGCCAAAAAGAGGACGGCCGATAGGCGGCGATAAACGCCAAACGCGAATCAAAAACGAGAGCGAATACGAGACCGAGAAACTCGCATCGAACACGAAACAAGCGCCTAAGGTAAGCGACCCTCCTATTCTGATTCCGATTCCAATTCAAGTTCCAATTCCGATTTCGATCTTTGCCTTCGTTATACAGTTTGCATATTTGCTTATTTGTTTATCAGTTTATTAACATTTTATCATAGCAGCAGCCACACACATACACACGCCCTTTTTTCGCGGCATTTGCATTTGCAAGTTCAACTTTTGTTTGTTTGCTCTGTGGCCCAGTTTGAGGTTAATAACATTGAAAAAATACAAAATCCAGCCCCCTTTCGTCTGCTTCCTGTTCGCCTCTGCTGGCGTTCACTTATTTACACTGCCCAAATAACAAATTTAAATATTTTTGGACTTATTGTTGTTGTAAAGAAATTGTTACAAGGTCAATTGTTTGTTGAGCATGAAATGGGTTTATACGCTGAACACTCAATATGCCCGTGGGTTGGCATATATTTGATTCATTTCAAACTCATTTTTCGGCTTCTTTATCTCAATACACACACAAATAAATATACTCACGCTCACATACTCATACTATTGCTCGCTGTAATTTCCGGTTCCGTTTTTCCAGTAATGGGCGCTCGTGTGAGTGTGAATGCGTGCGTTTGTGTGTGTGTGCATATGTGTGCACGCATTCAATTTATAGGCATGGGAACAGTTTTCTTTTTAGTGATTATGCTTTTGCCTTGCTATCTAGCTCTTTAATCAGTTCTCTAAACTAGTTTTAATTGCAGATTAAACTTGGAAAACTCTAGAATGTTTTAGTAAGAAAATAAATTTCCTTTTAGCGCTTTAAATAAGCTAGCTGTAAGCTAGATCTTTAGATTTAGGATTTTAGTGTTAAACGAGAGCTTACACATGTATTAGCAAAACTCTAATTTCGTCATATTTGGTTATTGAACTGGATTGCAAATGTCTGTTTGGACTGCATTTACGATTTTGATGTGTCAGTGGAATAATCCGTTTGTCCGCATAGAGTGTTAAGTAAAAGTTCACAGCGGAATATTTTTGAATTACACTTTTAAGCTATTCCCTAATTCTTTGTTATTAATGAAATTGTGTTAATTCATTTCAAGCGGTTTCTATTATCTGGAAATTGAGGGTTTTTTTGTAATTTTCCAGAAGAATTTTTATTTATTTATTTTTCAACGATTTCGCATGTTATTTATGCATTGCATCACTTGTTTTTATCAGCCTCGCAGTTTTCTGGAAGCAATGTTAATATATATTTGGGCATCACGGGAATATTATGACGCCATAATTGGAGTGAACGAACGTCATAGCTGACACCCTTTGTAAAAGCAAAGGCAAAGTCGCTCGTGAGTCATCAAATCGTTCGCTAATCAATATAAAACTATTCAAACTAATTGTTTGACCATAACTTAACTCGTGCTGTAATTGCTTTTGGTTTCGCTTATTCACAATAATTATATCGAAATGATGATTTAATTAGTTTAATTGTTAGCATATAATCGTAAAAATGTGGGATATACATCTGAGTGTACATATGTACATATATGTACGTAGATCTATGTGTATATGTATGTTATTGATTGCAATCGTCACGCTAACCTGCTGTTTTAATACTGAGCCACCGCATGGGTCGATTTATAATTAGATTTTTTTATTTTTTATGTTATGAAATTAGCAGAATTTGTTAACCACAAGATTCTGCGTGCGTAAGTTTTATTAATTTTAAGCGATGAACAAGTTGAATTCAGAATATAAAAAAAAAGGAGAACAGTCATCGTCTGGATATGAAATCGAGAACTTTTTGAACTGGTTCCACAGGCACTTTCCATTCGAATAAAGTTTCCCGCTCAATTAGCTCGTGATGTGCTAAAAATGCACAAATTAGGCAATCAAAATAATGATAGACTGAATGCATATCCTGTAATTGATAAATATATAGATTGGAACATTCCTGGAATAGTATTGAAAGTGGATATTACAGCCTAATAGTATGCAATGTAAATGTCAAATGAATATATGCATAAGCTGAAAGGAATATTATCCATGACAACGAATGAGCTCATTCAAGGCTCTCCATCGTCTAATTGTAATTGAAGCTTAGGCTACCCATAAACTTTTCCGTTCACAGGGTATAACAATGAAATTCATGGAGATTGTTGTCTGCGGCAATTACATGTTGCAATTATAGCCACAGGTAGCAATCAATGACGTCAGCTAACAAATTAAAAATAAAAACTTACCTAGGGGAAATCCAAATATAAAGGAAAATGAAATATATGCTTAGAGAGAGGGAGTGAGAGAGAGATGGACACCTTATGCCGGCAACAAGTGGTTCAAAGAGCACACGTGCATGCAAATCAAAAGAGAAAGAGCGAGCGAGAGAGCGCCTGATTCGCTGTGAAAGAGCAGAGCCTTAGCAACATGGTGCTGGCAACAAATTGGCAAGCAACATGTTGCTTGAGCAGCGCGCATAACAGAGGCACACAACAAATCAATAAAACAAAAACGCACACACACACAGACAAACATTCGTGCATGTTAAGTTAACAGCAGCAGTCAGCCAGCAGCCAAACAATGTTGCAGAGGTAAGAGGGTCGCTCTCAGAGTTCCGCACAAGTTCACAACAGATGTATAAAAAAACAAAACCGGATTGCCGAGTGCAACAGTTTCAATCTGAACAGCGTGGCGAGCAGGTCGTTTTCCGAGAGACAACACTTGTAGCATAGATATACGAGAGATTTTGTCTTGTTTTCAAAGATCATGTAAGCAACACAATCGAGCCAAACAACAACAAAATAAATAAAATAAAAATATTAAGTGCAAGCAAACAAGTGTCAATTGAAATTTATTAAATATATTTRATGCAAAATTAAATTATATTATTTAATCAAATAAACAATTAACAAGTGTCTATGAAGGATAAAAGAAAACGTTGGCAAATTGTAAATGTTTATATTTTAAGTGCTTGTTTTTTGCATTAACGTTAAATAACAAAAAAGAGACATTTAACAAACAAATTTAAAAAAATATATACTTATACATTAAAAAATAAAGTTATTAAGTAAATAAAATAAAGTTGTTGTTGTCTTGCGTACACGGTGGAAAAGTACCGCGCGAATAATTATTGTTACGATTATTATTATTATTGTTGCTGTTGCTGTTAACAATTCAAAAAAAAAAAAAAAAAAAAAAAAAAAAAAAAAAAAGACAAACATTCAATTAAATTTGAGATGCAACAGGCGCTTCCAACCTGTAGCTGCAACCAATAACAAAATACCAAAAACAACAAAAAATTCGAATATCATAAAATACCAAAATACCAATAGCTGCTTATCTCAACGTTTTAATCTGTGTGCGCAGGTCGGCTCTCACTCGCAACATTTCCTTCTCACTCTCTCTCTCTCTCCCAGTGCGCATAAAACGGGGACTACCTGCTGTGCGGAGCTGTGCCCTTGCGCCTGCGCCTGCGCCTGCAGCTCAAGCATCTCAGCTTACAGTCAGTTGTGTCGTCATCTTTCATCGATATCCATAACCAAATCAATGCCGCCGACCGGCACAAATTGACGTTGCCGTTGTTTGCTGTTGTTGTCGTTTCTTTCTTTTTTTTTTTTTTGTTGTTTTCGCATTATGTTGCACGCAGGCCACCACAGATGACGCTGACGCTGACTCTTTGAGCCATGTTTCCCTGTGCTGTCGCTGGTGCTGTTGCTGTGACTGGCTCTATCTCTTCCTCAGTCTCTGCCACGGCCGCTGCCGCTGTCACTGCCTCTGCCGATGTCACTGTCACTTCTCTTCTTGTTGTACATTTTTGACATTGTTTCTTTTCTTTTTGGCTCTGTTGCCATGAGAGGGTGCGCCACACAGACACACACATAGTCATGCATACACATACACTTACACAAGACAACTTTCGTTGATATTTTATTGGGCGATGATGTCATAAGTTCTTATTGGTGCGTGAAAAAGCGAGCCGACTGGAAAAAAGGGAGCAGGCAAAACCGGCCATAGGGATATACACACGTACACACACACATATATACCATACGAGACATCACCACGAAATGAGCGAGCATATTTTTATTTATTTTGTGATTTCCTAGAAATCAAAATTGTTGGCGCGTTTTGCCAATAAATGCGASTTCGAGCTCCATTYGAGTTGTTGTTGCACAAATGTGCGCTTGCAACAGGAAATATATATGTATATTTATAAATATGTATATATATTTATATA